GGAAAGAAAAGGAAAAAGAAACAAAAATAAAAAAACATGCAGCAAGTTTAATGGGACATAACACAGCTTCTCTCAACTCTGGCATTGTGCCACATCCTCTCTCTAACCACAACAAGTAAACGGCTCTGCAGGATGCAAAGCTGAGTTACGATTTCAGTTCAAGCAACACTGCAAAGACACAACAGCAAAATCTTAGTTTTGCCAGTTAGAAAGTCCATTTGCAAATGAGCCTGTACAAAACTAAATATGATGAGAAACTCCACGTTCCCTCCGAGATCCAGCACTGAAACACCGGGCTCGCTGTCTGAGCTCTGCCAGGCAGCCCCCCAGAGGCAAGTGGATGGTAGGAGCAGCAGGACAGTGGGGTAAAGCAGGCGAAACCAGCTTCTGCCCCAAATCCTTTCCAAGCAGCCCCAGCGCTTGTGCCTGGGGTGTTTTCCCACAAAAAAGCTGGGTTAAAAGACATCATCCTGGATGGATGCACAGAGTTCTTCAGTCCTACTTTTCGGGTAAAATGGCTATATCCTCTTTTATGAATAAGCCATTTCTTACCACAGACAGCTGCTCTCTCCCTGCGAGACCTTCACACTGTCGTACTGCAAACAGGCAGAACAGCAGATGGCAATGTCCAGTGTTCTCAAAAACCACATCTGTCATTTCAGACTACTCACCAGGGTATTGAATTGTCTAAATATGGGAGGAACAGAGATTTACCTCCACAGTTCAAGCAACTAGCAGGGGGAAAATATATCTGGAAACTACAAATCAAGCCCCAAAGCCTTGAATTAGAAGCACGAGGTTGCTACATTCTCCTTCTTCCAATCTAGAGAGATCTTCCTTCTGCACTGCACCAGCCATTCACGCTCGTAAGAGGACAGCTTCAGGAAAACCTCTTCCTTTTAGCGCCAGTGGGATTCAGCAATCTTTTTAGAAACATAAAACTATCTTACGTGCAACCTGCTGGATAGCCGTAGCTTTTTTCAATTTCTTTTACCACTGGCAGTGTATTTTCCAAGACCACAGAAATTTAGACTTGACAAAAAGTTCCCATCATGTGTCTCAAGATACCGCTGACAACATATCCAGGAATTTATGCAAATTTGAGAACTTCCCCGAATAGATTATACTTAATACGTTCATAGAAGGAAGTCAGCTGCCTCCTCTTCACTAGGAACTATAGAAGAAGAGAGACTGCAAGCTATTAGATGTCATCATATTGGGCCAGAGCAAATTTTTGGGCATGTCAAAAACATGACCTCAGAGCACAGCTCCACACTGGTCTTCTTTTAAGAGACACTCATACAGGAGCAGGGCCCTCTCTCCCCTCCTTCCCAAGATCCACCTGTGGCTTCCATCCAAAGGCCACTGCTCTCTCACACATTAACAGGACTATGTGCCTTTCCATTGATTTGGAAATAAAAAGTAATTGGTTCACAGAAATGCTGGTATTTCCAGTTACTTTCTTTTTAGTTAATGATTATCTGGTGAAGATCTCACTTTACGAATAATACTGACAGAAAAAAAAATAATTTGGGGATCATGCAAATTCCTTTATGGATCAGGCTGAACAACTGGTCCCTCTGAAGATGGGAGGTACAGGTGTTCCTCAAACAACCAGAGTTTGAGGACATAGCACTTTTGTTAAGATCTCATATTTCCTTCTTTTTTTTTTTTATTAATAGAACCATGATTTTCTTTCACATGGAAACTTACTGCAACTGTGCCTCACATTCTCATGGCTGTGCACAACTAAGAACAAATGACCTCATCTAAATGGTCCAAAATCTTTTCCAGATGACAGTGGCATGGCCAAAGCACCACACACTTGAGCATCATGCTCCATTTGTATATCAAGTCACCTAGAGCTGCGGCCATCACCATCACACGTGAGTATCAGACATACAGAGACTATTGGATCCAGCAAGCAGTGCTTTGCTTTGGTTTTGGTTTCACAAATAAACCTTTAGAAACAGGAAGAAATTACTTTGGACTGATGCATGGAGCAACAGGCAATTTGTAATTCCCAGCTGTCTATTGGTGATGGGCGATTTATGAATCTTGCATTTCAGTGAAGCTTGCCCAATTTACGGCTTAGTGCACAGCAAAGAACGGCTGTCTTAAGGCATTTCAGCGGGAAGGTGAGGGAGCATACACATGCAGCACTGTGAGGGAAACTAGCTCTGCATTTCAAAAACAAACACTCCGTGCCAAACCCAAGCCTCCACAGGGACTGCACATAGAAAGTGCTCACACAGTAAACCAACCTTAACAGCTGCGGGTTGATGAAAGCAAGTAGGTCTTGTATCAGCTTGAAGAAGGAGCCGATTAAGAAGTACGGCCCGAAAGTCCTCAACAAAGCTTTGAGAAAGGAAGGCTTCCTGTTGCGCTTTTTGTCTCTAATCAGAACTTCTGCTTCCTCTGGACCATCGCCGACATGATTCAGTGCATGGTTAGATTTCTTCATATATGTCACATCCTCTTTCCTAGGGGAATGAAACAAGCAATTAGAGGCAACTGACACCAAGAACGTCATTGCCCTACGCGTACAGCTCTGAACTAACATCTAAAATCTGCTCCTTTCTTTGTTCTGCTACTGATCAACAGCAAGACTTTCAACAAGACCTAGATATGCTCAGGGACAGGCCCCTCACGTAACAAGTCTTGTCTTTCTTTTTCTGCAGTGCTTATGAGGTGTACTCCATAGGCCAAAGAATCAATCACCATGGGATGAGAACGTAGCCCAAAGGAGTAGATGAAGGATGGCTTCCTTTGGCAGAGGACAAAATTGACTGTGAATTTCCAATTTCTTGCAGAGGAATCTTCTAAACATTTGCTATTTACATACCACAAAATGCACCCTCACCTAGTCCTTCCGAGCCTGTGTTCATTATTCAGTCAGTAACTGCACTAAGCCTTTAGCCTTATCTGATCACACAGCTGCTTCCAGAGAAATGTGAATCTCTCCAGGGAGACAGGCACTGAATCACACACCAAGCTAAGAGAGGAAGCAGGCACAGCCTTCTCAAAATACAGAGTTTTGCATTCCTGAAGACTTGAAAGAGTAGGAATCATAGCACCTCCAAAGCCGAGCCATCTCTGAGACGTGGGCCACAGCTGTCCACGGTTCTTCCACAACAGAAACTTTGAGTTTAGGTGCCTCAGACGACAATTTAATTTTACTCAGATGACAATTTAAGCATTTAAAGCCTGTTTGGTCGTATCCCTGTCTTAGTTTGCGTCTCTCTCTTTCTCCATCTGCAAAATACAACAAAAGTGGCCTCTTCTGCAAAGCTCTTTGAGAGTGACCTATGACAAACGGCCCCAACAGGTCTGTGCTGCTCTCCAGGCTCTAGGTGGGTTCTCTGGGCATCTCTGGGGTTTAAGTGCCTTGACTGCAGCTGCACACAAATGAAGAGAGGGTGCTCTAGGAAATTATTTCCTCCATGAATTACTCTCAAAGAGCAGCCTGGCAGCTTTTCTACCAGCAAATACTGAATTGGTCTTTTTTCTTGGGGGCTATGGGACCCAGAGAACAATTTCCTGACTGTCAGCCAGGAAGATTAAGTCCAGGTGAAGCAGAGGGAAGGAAATGAGTGTCTGGGGCACGTAAGCCTTATAAGAAGGGACAGATGGAAGAGACACCCTAGAAGCAGTGAGAGTTAGAGGAAGACATTTGAAAAATAACTTGGAAGTACTACCCACTGAGGTTGGATTTATGATTCTTCATAAGGAGTGGGCAGATTTTTGGAGCTGGCTGGCTGCAGAGTCAAATAATTCCAAGAGCTTATAAGCATCCAAAATGCTCACTGCGGCTGACAGTCCACAGGTAGAAACTTGTTCACATCCTTTCCAACAACACCATGTGCAAATCCCAATTTCTTTGCAATAAAGTCTGAAGGCAGGGGGAGAACCTAAACCAGACCAAACAGTGTTGCCTTTGTCCTTTCAGATAAAATCTGGAGAGTTTATGAGCAAAGCCTTATTTTTCTGGCACCAAGGCTGTTAAACTCATTGAAGGATTTGAAAAAAACAAGATTACTTGCCCCTAGCTTTGTGCTGTTAAAAATGTTTATTACAGTGAGCTAACAGGGACATCACAATTCTTTTGCAGCAAAAAACCCCAAAGGGAGAAAATTAGGTGAGGTCAGGTTTTCAGCAGTGTGTGGGACTGCTCACACCCACTTTTTTTATCGAAGCAAAGATCATGTGCCTGGTTTCCATTATTTATAGCAGGGCAGATAACAGATGTTGGTTATCTCACAGGAAAACACACAGCCTTCTCGATGGTGATGACAAGGTCCTGCATCTTCAATTTGTCTTCATAAGCATAATCTCGAAATCCAGAAGCTAACTAAAAATGAGGCAAATGGATTCCAGTCCTCTCTTCTCCATCCAGCACAGCTCTAACTTTCTCAGAAGCAACTGCACTTATCAGTCAAGTGAGCAAGTAGCAACTTCAGCAACACATGCAAAGAGAGCAAAAGCAAATGGAAAAAATACTCTCGGCGTGCTTTATCTTCTATCATAACAACTTAAATCCACACTGATCTCTCCTGTAACTCATTAGTAGCAAGTGAATTATTAGCAATTACTTAACAGTAATTCACAAGACAGCTGTGAAGAAAAATGTAGAAAATGTTTTGTAGGTTTAGAAACAATAGAAATGTGATAATCATTACCATAAAATACCTTTAAAGCTTCAGTAATGCCAGAGTTGCAACTGAATAAGTTTTTTAAAAATAAATTACTCTTAGGTACACTGCAAATACTTTCCATGACACTTTCAACATGTGTACACTTAAGACAGCATTTTTAATGTCATAAAAACTTGCTCAGAGCAGATTTAATGACAAGAGGTTTGTTTAAAAAAGTCTGTACAACAGCTCCCAAGCAACTACCACCGCTATTTGATATGAAGTAATTGAGAATACCTACTTATAATTGAAAAAAAAACAGAGCCACAAAGCTTTTAGAGTTATATGAAACCCAGCAATCTGGAGTACAGTGATTCGCTTTGTTTTTGCACCTTCCCCCACCTTACAACCATTAATACAGTCATCACAAATTTTACCTGAGCTAAATACAAGCCAGAATTTATGGTTAAATTCATTGCCAGCTGGCCCCAGTTTGTATGAATAATTTCAAAATGCAACAAATCCCATGACTAAACTCCAGGCATGGTTTCTGGTTTCTTAGCAAAAGTTTTCCTGGACCCAGGCACTTCTGCACAATAGCTGTGCTCTTTCTATATAAAAAAAGCCTGAGGGAGTCAGATTTACATCTATGCAGTAAAAGACCAGAACTCAGACAATGCACATTACTCCACACCATAAAAACAGGAACGTGAAGAAAACAAACAAAAAAACACAAACCCACTTGGTAAAACCACAACGTACATACACACAGAGCACTAGTGGACAAGCTGCTGGTGTTAGTGCTGGAAACCTTTCAAATTTTAGCTGTGAAGTAGAACTCTCCAGATCACATTTAGCCTTGCCAAGAACCTTACAACTCGCTCCTAATATTATCACATAACAGGGTCTTTCCAACTTGGCAAGGATATGCAGAGGAGAGAACAGAGGAAAGCCTCCACATGGAGAAGAAATCTCCACAATGAAAGGAAATGGAAGCGCAGGCCTCCTCCTCATTGCCATTTCTCATTTGAAACACACTACTATTACATCTATTTGTTTGGAAACATTTTGGAGATTTAACCACTGGAAGAAGGAAATACAGTTTCACAATAGATAATTTTTTAAGATTAGATTAGGACAGAACATGCAATAAAAAGGATATCCTCTCCAGCATGGATGTAACTGTATGCAAGTTCTGACTCTCACCCCACTCCCATTAGAAACTAGGAGAATTTTGCTGATTTCTAGGCAACAGAAGGATGGTCTTGGCTCTTAAATTGGGACATCCTGCCTCTTACACGTTTTGAGTTTCATATCTTTACTGCTATGAGGTGAAGAGCAGCTCACTGCTAAGAGCCTCAAGGCTAAAAATAGCGTGAGGCCAAAAAACCCACACAGGGGATGATGAGGAATTCCTTTTGGTTTATGGTGCCTAGAAGCTGTGCTCGAACGTGACCTAGGAGGGATGCATTTATGGGGTCAGACATCTACCAGCTAAGGTCAGGAAAGCTGTTAATTTTCTGCAATTTAACCAACTTGATTCCTTCTGCTTTTGCATCTTCAGCCCTTCTCCACATGGTAAATGGCACGTAGATTATACCCAGTTAAAAAGTGTTTCAGTGGTACACAAGCCCCAGAGGCTCCTGCTTGTCTCTGCCTAGGAATATTAGGAGTATTTCATTTTCCTCTGCCTAGGAATATATAAAAAAAGCAAATTTTACTGTGAATATGAATGAAGAACAGATGAGTTAAAGAGACAAGTGCCACTTTCAGTTGGCTCATTTTCAGGGATGAGCCACTTATTAATGTTGAAACGACTCAGATCCATCTCCGACTGCAGACTTGTTCATATACTTACTGTTTGCACTCTGCTTTTTCTTTGTCCCACTCTTTACTTAGTCGTTGCACGATAATTTTTGAGGTATCATCTTCATTCAGTGACCACAAATCTTTATCTTCGAGGGGCCTTTTGTACCCAAGAATTGCCATGCTGCACATATGGAGAAAATCAGTCCAATTCAGTTTGGCTAACAGTATTTAAAGCATTATTAGGAAATCTGGGACTATTAAGCTAACAAAAGCAAGAAGACACATCTCCACAGAAAGGGTGATAATTATACCTCTGTCTCCTTTTGTTCCTGATATTGATGTTTGCAATTAAGGAAAGGACATTACGTAGTTTTGATGACATGTATTTTATTGAAAACATCACTCCGGAAAAAAAGGACAATAAAAACCAAGTACCAGAAGCATTTGAATGAAACTATGGTGTTAAATGAAAACAGAGAAGCTTTAGAAATGAACATAACTAAGCCTGTTTGGAATAACTCTCAGAGGTGAACAAAATGCTAAAGTAAGCTCATATAAGTGATTTTTCTTTTAATTTATCTCTGAAAAACTACAGTTCCTCAACTGCAAGAGGAACTCTTTCAAGGAATAACCAACCCTTAGTTGCCAGGGGAAAGTTGAACATTGAAACCTTTAGAAGTTTAGAAAGATCTCACTCTCTTACTAAAATAAACTTTACAGGGCTGCTGCCAGGACAATGAAGTTACACGGGTGGAAGAATGAAGATCTCAACACCCTCAACTACTGTGAAAAAATGGGTGCTAATATGACCTTCAACAGCTGTTCCACTTCTTGTTCACGGAGTAGTAGTAAGGCCAATCTCAAATTTGCATCTTTAACACACGTGCCTTGCCAGCAGCATCAGTTGGTGGCGATGATAAGCCAGTTTACCTGCCTGCTTGCACAGAAACTGTCCTTACAAAAAAACCATTCACCCATGAACCTCCACAGAACACAAAACGCATCCTCAGCTGGGTGAAAGGTTGCTACAATTAACCTCGGGGAACAGTCTGACATGGCGGTTCAGGTTGTGCTCCAGGCTGTGGTAAGAACAACCCGGCTCCACGCCCTGCCCGTCACAGCACAGCTGCCCCCGCTGCTCCTCAGGGAAGAGGGCTGGGTGCTACAAACCTTCTGAAAGCTCTTTCTAAAAAAGGCAAATGCTAGAAGTGCTGACACCGCTGCGGGTGAAAGAGCATCCAACACCAACTACTTCCAGAGGAAACCTCTCTGTGTTGCTAACTCTGGTACAACGCACATCACGAGTAGAGCTTGGGGATGTCAGCTGCCCAAGAGCTTGAAAAGAGAAGCTCACCTTGTAAACCACCAAAACGTTAATCTTGACAGGAAGCCTGAAGCTGACTCTGGACATGGATTCTACAGTAAATTTATAGGGGCGACAAGAGAAAATAAAAGAAGACATTTACCATTAATAAGAAGACAGCCAATTTTTGGTTGGTTTTGGTATATCACATGTATGTACCTATGTCCTAAAAAGACATCAAATTGATTTCTTTCATTTCCCATGTCATGCAGAAGTTTTTTTATCTTTAAAAATTGCATCATTGCTTCAATTGCCTTTAAATCACACTTACATGAAGTGAAATGTCATTCTATAGTTTCTGAAATGTTCATTTTAAGAAATGAACTCAGCCTCCCTCTCAGCTTGGTTGAAACATAAATCCAATTATAGAGACCATTTTATGAATCGAAGAAATTTAACCTGTGACACCACTAATATCTTCTGTTATTAATGTTTTTCCATATCTGTTCTCAACATATATAGAACTCGTTTATCAAGAAAACCCTTATAGACTTCAGCTAACTCTAAATGAATGTTAAGCAAGTAGATCACCATTTCCACAAAAAACACACTTGAAATAATTAATATTACACTTCAGTGTTCATAAATGAAATTCAAACTGCTGTGAAGCAGCAAGTAGGAAAGCTCTCACCTCAGAGCTTCCAGTCGTTACTGATGGCACAGATAATGGGAAAAGGCTTCACACCCCAATATTACCCTCCATATCCAGTGTTTTGTAAGGGGGTCACTAACTGCTACAATCTCAAGGAGAATCCAAAACTGTTTTCAGTGACAAGTATTCTCAGTGTAACTCTCAGAACGTGATACAGGCTGTAGAACAGAAACAAGGCAAAGTAAAAATACTTACAGGATCTGTATTAACGGGGGAAAAAAATGGAGGCTTTTCTTTAAAACATGAAAGGATCAACTCAATGATTATCAAAGCAAAGTACATGCAAAATGTGGTAAACCTGAACCTTTCATTTGCATGGCCCTAGAGGGAAAAAGAAACACAGTGAATGATTGTTTTTATTGTACTTCCCAGCCCTCCCAACACACTCACACACACGCATGTCCTCTCTGACTTTTTCACAGCTTCTTTTGCCAACTCCTTTCTTCCTCCACACTTGAATACCGCAAAGCAGTTGCTAGCAGGAATTATCTTACAAAAGTACGCATGCATTCTGTAGAGTGCCTAAGAACAAGCTTATCTCCAAGCTTTTCATTTAATTATGTCAAGTTCAAAGTGCTTATACATCTTCACTGCGTGCAGACACCCTCTGGAATCAGGGCTACACGACATCCTTTTAAATTACCTCCAGGGGTTCTTGCAAGATCGTGTCTTAAGCATCGGGATTGTCAACCCAGATCAGAGAACATCCATTTACTTTAGTATCTTGTCACAGACAAGCAGTCAGTGTTACTTTCAGAAGCAGCTGCAAAAAAAGCACTGGATTGCATAGTCACAGTTCTATCTGCTCTACAGTTATTTCCTTTCCTGCTCATAAGAGTCTGCAGTTGACTTAGAGTTTCTTGCTGTGAGGGCATGTGCCTTATACAACTCTCTCACACCCTCACGAGGTTGTGAATGCCCTCATTGTTCACCTAAAATGTTTAAACCCTAGGTGCAAGAGATATAATATTTTTGTATTCGACATTTGCAGAAACAGGAGAAACGTTATCTGTACCCATTCCACGGCTCTGCACCCATAATTTTAAGTTCATTAAGGATTCAAAGATTGGTAGTTCAATATTTGTATTTACTCACCACTACCACAGTGTTAAAAAATTGACTTTAAGTGGTGTTTGGAAGGGTCTCACCAGGATTGCAGCTATTCTTCTGAAGTTCTGCACAGACTGTCATTTAAGGTTTAATTCAGTCTCTGCTGGAATATTTACAACAGCCTGCTAGAGCAAAACCTTTGCTAAAAGGATAATGCTGCTAATAGTCGCCAAAAAAATAAGCATTAAAAAAAAGAAATCAGCAAACAGTATCAACACTGATTTCACTGAGGAGAAGCAATCACCTTTAATGTTTTTCAAGCACTCTTTTTCACTCCTAGCCTTTGATGATCTAATCACTGAAGCAATCTGCTTTGCCCTTCTTAGGGAAATTTGTTTCTTGTGGAAAATAGAACAACTTCCTTACTGCGGGAGAACCTGCTATGTTTTCAAACAGAAATCACAACAGCCCAGGTTTCTTTCCCTCCAATTTTCTGTTTCCAATTTACAGCCACAGATGGAGTAAAAACGCTGTCCTCAGCACACCAGGAGCTGACAAAAGGAAGCCCGTGGTGCTGCATAATGTGCCCAAGCTGCCTAAGCAAAAAAGGAGCACTGCATATTAAAATGCGTCATCTCCGATTACCACCCATCCCTCAGCCTCGGGCTAAGCAAACTCTGCTTTTTGACATTGCACGAGAAATCCCAGTTCCTTTCAGTCTGAGTCAAGGCAACAGAACCGAATTTCTCTTTCTCTCTGGCAAAACTCGGGCTCAGGACTGACTCCAAACTCAGTGATTCATTCCTTTCCCCGAGATGTTAAGGCTGCAGTTCCTGTTCTCCAGGTGCTAACAGGGGCAGCGTGTTACCTGCTGTGTCGTAGTCATGACCTTAGACCGGAGAGGCCCCACAGCACAGAGCACAGACAAAAACCAGAAGATAATGAGCACTCCAGAGGACTGAACTCCTCGCAGCCTTTCATACTGAATAAGCAATGTAGCTAACAGCTGTAAAAGTAAATACAGGAACATGTGAACACAATCCCGCTCCTCATTAACCCTTAGTTGGCAGAGATCACAGTCATCATCGACAACAGGACTTTCTTGAAATAAAACTCCATCATAAAATCACGGAATTCAATGGCAAAACATCCTCTGTCTAAGGAAAGCAGTGTATAACTTCAAGAAATAATTTGGTTTTACTGTTTTCAGAGCCTTGTCCCCAGAATTCAATTTTTAAGGCAGACTTTGTACCTAGGGCGAGGCACAATTAAATACTAGCCACAAACATTTTAAACAAATATAAGAGCCATCATTCCTCCAGTCCAGATGGACAATCATAACTTGTCTAGAAAACCACATTTTAAAAAAAAGTAAAATAAAATCTAACCAAGGAATTAGAAAATTAATGGACAAATCTTACTGTTTCATTTTTTATACAAGACTGTTTGTCACCCTAGGCAAAGCAAATCTGCTTTCTGTTTAATGGAGGAACAACCACCAGATAAGAGACACAGTTTTACAAAGTCCAATACACTACTGAACGATGCACAAGCCATGCTCTATCCTATCTCCCTGTTTAGGTAAAATCACATCCAAACTTTCTCCACATCTGGATTGCAAGCCTGGAGAAACGGATGAGAATGAGGTGGGAGGCAGAATAATCTCTCCATTATAAAAATTTTAATTTACATAGCTGAATCTACATGAGAGAGCTATCCAACTGTGGCCTTTTGGGTAAGCAAAATTTGCTTTAGTAATACAAGTATGAATAATTTAGGCAAAACAGTACAGGATAAGGCAATGAATGCAAAGGAACCGTTTCCCTCCTTCATCTGTGTAAGAAAGAGTTATTCTTATCGGTCACAATAAACAGAAATGGCTACGAACCACAGTGATGCCAACGATCAGTGGCGTTACAAAATAGACTGGTGGAGGCGTTCTGTTCTGCAGGAGCTCGTGGAAAGAGTAGAAGAGATCTGCCCAGCTCACGCACCACAGCAGGACACCGAACAGCTGGAAAGAGTCAAACACAAACAGCATTTGGCAAACTCATCTCCAGGGACAGCGAGAGGACCAGCAAAGCCATCGTGATTCACAGACCCCCAGCAAGGCAGAGCTGTGCAAACGCAGCAGCGCTGATCAGCCGCGCTCAGGTTGATGGAACTGCCCAAGTGCACTCAAACCACGATCTCATCTCAACTGCTTTCCGAGGGTTTTGGAAACTCAACCAAGAGACAGGCTGATGTATTTACCTGTTTTATTTTCCCCATACTGTTCAGGTTTGATTGGAAACACAGGCAGCATACGGATTAAAGTCCTGACCTAAAGTAGAAGTCCAGGATTTTTCTCCAGGAATAACCCCAGTTCCCTCATGGCCTACGGCAAGTGACCTGCTCACCTTGGAGCTCACCATGCATAAACCAGAGGTGCTGCTGGCATCAGCCATCTCTTAAGCACAAAACACAGATGAAACCACATAGCTACTGGGTGGGTAGAGTGGCTTGAAAAAATACTTTCTTGTGCTTACTTTCACAGTGAGATGAAATCCTCACTAGACCTACCTTAAGGTCCTTGTTTTGCAGCTTTTGGTTGTTTAAAGCTTAAGTAAGGGTGAAGCAGCACAGCTTTGGCTCAACAAAGTGGTGAACTCTCTCTTCTGCAGAGCAATCAACTCTCTCTACCCAGAAAGGTGGGCTCACAGGATGGATTTCCTCCCCGATGAGCTATGTTTTGATATCCTTCCTCAGAAAACTGCACTTAGATCCCTGGGAAACGTTTCCTATAAGCAAGTTCTTCAGCTTCCCCATAAATCAGAGGGAAATTTGTTTACACCCTACTACAGTCCTTGTCTGGACGCTGAACTAACACTAACAAACTCAAAACTGCACACTACTCTGGAGCACCGCAAAGAGGTCTTACCGTCTTGAACCTGCTCAACACGGAAAGCACGATGTACCCTCTTCTGTTGTGTTTTAGGTAGAGGAGATAAAAGGGTAATGCACTCCATAGATAAATGCTGGGGATCCAGGCGAGGATGGTATTCTGGAAACACGGTGTCAGGTCTGGATTATCAGTGTGTATTGAGAGGTTTGAATCCTGGAAAAGAAGTGAGACATTTATTAATAGAAAGGCAGAAGCGCTGCCAACTGGAACATCTGCTTGAAGAGGTTGTATCCAAATTCTGCTGGAGTTAGCAAATGGCCTTAGCAAAAGCTCTCCAAAAATATCTATCCCAACTACTTGTCGTTAATCTGCTATAGAAAAAGAGTTACAGTAAAAGGGCAGTTCTGAAGTACAGTTTTAAATATTGGGCAAACCCTAGAAAAACAGTCTTCTGCCCTCCTGGATCAGATCTGGACACACATTTTGCAGCAGACAAACCCCTTGTGTTTCTGTCTTTATTAAGGCTCAGTTACAGGTGCTGATACCACGGCACTTCTCAGGCATTCCCAGCTTGGAGCGTAATTGCTAAACAAAGCTCTTGAGGCAAAACCCTTGACTTGAGAACTCATCTAGCAAGAATGTCCAGCACTGGAGAAAATTATCAGATTTAGATCAACCATATGCTGACCCAGGAAAACCCCCTCCATCTATGACTAAAATGTTGTCCTTCTTACTCATAGGCCTTCAAATATAATTATTTCCCTATTCTAAACAAAGGCAGAAGGAATGTATTGCACATGCAGGTAGGAATATGGGTTTGGTGGGGTTTTTTTTTTTGCAAACACTGCAAACAATGCTCTCCATCTGTGACCTTGGACATCAGGATTCACACACGTGACTCATACCTAAGGATCTGAATGCACCACATGCAAACACGCAGTTACACAAGGGTCAAACTAAAATAGAAATTTCAGTACAGTTAAGGGAAACTTGGTTTTAAATCAAACCTACTGGAAATTCACAACTTGCATTTCACCATCTGATGTGTTATCTTCAACATGGTAGATTAATACTTGCAGGAATGTAAAATTACTTTATTGTACTATCATTAACAAGCAGATCATAAAACTAAGATATCTGTTGTTCAGTTATGCCTTATCTCTGCAGTAGAATCATTTACTTGTACCTAATTATTTTTGGCTATGAGCTCTCTGCAGAAGTATGCTTCGGTTAAGCTGAGCCATTTCTCCCCATCCCTCATAAAAGAATGATTGACTAGCCTGAACATTAATTCTTCAAAAGTATTTCCACCCCTGCTTTTGTTTACCAAGACAAAAGAGGCCGAATGTTGAAAGCAACGGCTGATTTTAGGAGAACTGAAGAGCCACAGCCTGCCCACACTCTTCTGATCTCGGTGAAGCTCTGTCAGAAGGGCCGTGCATCACTGCGTCAGTCCCCACATGCGCAAAATGACACTACAGAGCCTTGGCAGGTGGCAGGATGGTTTGGCCGAACCGTGACAAGGTTGTCACTCGGTACTTCAGCTTTGGCACAAATTAAAGCCCTGGCAGCGGTGAAGGGTGGCGCAAATCCATCAGCTGCGCATCCAAACCGCGCCCTTTCACGTCGCAGAGTCAGGGCTTTTCCAGCAGAGCAGCGGCTCCTCGGGAGCCACGCTGGGACCCAGCCTGGCCCTGGCCATGAAAACGTCCCCATTGACCAGGACAGGTTCGTCCAGCCCTAGAGAGAACTCCAGCCACAAACCAACAACACAGGGGCAATTACACTGCAGTTCAAACACAAGATCAAAACCAAACCAAACTCCAGCCTCATATTCAAACTGCTTCTGCGTTTCTCCTCCAGCAAGCAGGTCTCTGGCACCAGCGAGGAAGGTGATGTTTAGAGAGCACCCTTTTTTGGCTCATCATCAGAACATTTCAGCATCTCTACCATGAAAAGCTCTTCTAGCAGCTACCCTGCCTGGGGCAGGAGATGCCCTCTACAAGTTTGGAGTTTTAGTTCCAAAGCAGGAACTTATCTACTACCATTTATTCCACAAAATACTAATTTCCTCTCTTAATTACATGTGGTTTAGCAATGTCTTGAGCATGTTTGCAATTGTGCTCCTTTTGCTTGCTAGAAAAAATCCTGGAAAAAGGAAAACTGAGGAAGAATAGCAATAACTGGGCATAGAATAAAACAAAGATTCCGTTTAAGAGAAAAGTTATTGGCTGGGGGGAAAGCAGCACTCAACTTAAATCCTTCCTGTAAGGCCAAAATGTCTAGAAATGGCTTCCTGTCACCTAGAAACTGCCCCAGATGTCCATTAACTTCAGACAGAACACAAGCTGGCTATTGTATCCAAGATACAGACTGTGTGGCTGCCAAGCCATTTAAAGGTTTTCATTAACTCTTATTTAAACAAGGGAAAAGACTTGCATTTCTGAGTGCATAAATACAGCTGGCCAGAAATAAAAAACATTCCGTCCTCAAAAAAAAAACAAACCAAACACAGAAGATTTTTAGATTTGGTTGAGTTATCCCTGAGAACAAAAGTGGAACTCTTCCAAAATTGTGGAGAAGGACAAGAAGCAGTAGCCAGGCGATGACCAACAAGAGCCCACTGCTCCTGTGGCACATGGGAAATGGGGCCGTGGGCTGAAGAAGAAATCTATGTCCAAGGTGACAGAACTGACCACTGGCTATCTTGGGAATGTTCCAGGTCCAATTTCATCCTGGAACAGATCTGTTTCTGTGAATAGTTTCCTTTTCACCAAAGTGCTGTTTTCCAAGTGCAGACTCTTTACATCCTTGAACACAATGAGAGGTGCTCCTGTTAGAAGACAGAGTACCTAAAACGTCTGAGTTGTGTAATTCCATGCAAATTACTTGCTCTCTCTAAGATCAGACCACAGTGGATGAAGAGCCTGCTATGAATTGTTACTTTTAAATCTAGGAATCCGAAAGCTGCATTTCTTACCACATTTCTTACCAAGCTGGAGCTGTTTTCGTGGAGCTGGCAGTTCTACTTTATAAATCACCACACTGACAGCATATATTCCAACATTCACTCCCATCCTAAACAACTCCTATCGAGTTCGAAATACAACATGAAGTCTTAACACAATCTATCATGACCAAGACAGCGCTGTTAAATATTGCTAAACACCCTCCAACTCTGCAGTAACGTTATGGAACTCCACCCTTGTGAACAAACACAAGAAGCAACGGCTGGAGGGACACACCAGCTCTGTGACTCCTACCTTTAAGTCTCCTGCTTTAACCTGGCTTTGCCTTTCCATATGCTGTCCTGGTAAGCAGAGCAGGTTTAAATGCTTCTTGTGTCCCACTCTGACTGAAGATGAATATACCCACCTTGGGCTGTTTGGGTTTGAGGGTTTTTTTGGACTTGCTGCTGGAAAAGGTCTAACATGCTGATGTTGGATAGCACACGGCTTCCTCGGCTCATGGCTCTGTGCTGGCCCGAGAGCCGCTCACCTTCCTCCGAGCACCACAGCTCTGCCTCAGGGTGCCCTCCAGTGAAAGTCCCCCAAAACACGCTGCAGGCAGCTCAGTGACCCAGCGCCAGGGTGACCCATCAACAGGCAGCTCACCAGGGGAAATACTGAGCAGGGCGTGTTGGGAAACACCACTTTCTCTGTGAAATTCATCCCTGGGAAATGGTAAGAGCCAGCATGTCCACCCCAGCTAATACTGCTGTCAGCTCGCTTCCCCACAAGCGAGTCTGAAGAGCAGTAACCTGTGACCCCTTCCTCACCTCGACTCCCTCTGCCACGAGCTCTGTGGCATCTGCCTGTAAGCAGCAGCATTTCCTCGGGTGCAGTATCATGGATCAGGGTGAGGCTCCGCTGGGGAGATACAGCATTGCAGAAACACCAGCCCATTGTACCAAACTCCCGTGGCACACGATTTCCTTAATCCTGCAATAATACTTAAATGTAATGCCAACATCCACAGGAAGAGAGATTAGAGATGCTCCCTACAACTTCACAGCAGACTAGGGGTCCCCTGGAGTCTAAAACTTACAAATTAGTTGGGCTTTCTGTTGATTAGTTAAGAATATGATCAACGTTGTCCCTTGCAGCAGCTTTCAATCATACCCATCACTACAGTCACAGTCTTTAGAAAAACACAAACATCATATTAAAGGCCATCTGTGCAGCAGGACTTACATTTAGAGGGGCAGTTTTAAAGACATGATCTTCATTTAAGGGAAGGTATTCAACAGCAGAAGCTCTGAGCAACTTCAAAGCTACTCTGATACTTAGTGCTTTCTATTACACTTTCCTCTCTGGAAAAGAACATTGCTATTGAAAACAGCATCCTTAAAACTGATAATGCCTCTAAGGGAAATGAAAAGGGGTTTTTCTTGCACATCATCCCGTACAGCTTTCAAAGAAAAGGGTGACGAACAGGAAGCCTAAAGCTAGGCTGAAAAACACAACAAAGAAATTCCTGTCTACCCCTTTTCCAATGCCTAAGGATGATGTTAACAGAGCCTGCCGAGAAAGACCACTCAGGGTTCTGGTCTTGGGTTTAAGTTTAAACCAGCTCCTATGCCACTACGGAAGCTTACAACAAAAGTGCCTTACACCAGGTTTACCCAGCATCAGCTGATGCTGCAGTAATGCTCCCCCAACAGCCGGTAACAGAAAACTTCCAAACCCTAGGGAAGACTAACAATATCTTTTGTAGTCTCAAGCAGTTATCTCCATTGAATGGACAAACTAATCCATATTCCTCTCTGTTTCTATAGCGCAAAAAGAATTGGGAAACACAAATTCATTCTTTATCTGCTTGGAAGGTGAAAACCATTGATGTAATTCATACTCTACCCAAGGTTAATATACGACATATCGCGGATTGTGTGTCACTTATCACTAGCTGGCACATTATTTAAGATTAAAAATCAAATTAGAAAGCTGACTGGGAGTGTACACATGGAAAGCAAAAGATAGGGAAGTGAATAACTGAAAGTAACAACGCTTGCCTGCAGTAAATAAACATAGAAATGGTATTTCTTGTAGAATAAATTGTTAGTGAGAACTTAAATGCAGAGGAGAATCTTTCTGCTCTTCTTCTGCTCCTAGATCTGATAAATACCCCATCAGTGAGTTTCCCTTGCACAGTCTGGCGGAAAAAAAAAAAGGATGTTTTTTCTCTCTACCACAATGCATCCTCCCAAG